TCATCTATCCTTTTGAGGATATTGAATGTTCCATGGACTGCCAAGAAAACAAACAGATCAATCCTAGAGAGGGTTAAACCAGGCTACTCCTTGGAGGCAAAGATTCTGGGGCGTCGTCTGACATACTTTGGACATGTTGTAAGGAGAGACAGGTCCTTAGAGAGGGACATCATGATTGGGAGGGTACAGGGACAGCGCAGGAGGGGAAGACCCTCTGTGAGGTGGATTGACTCAGTGACTGGGGTAATCGGGATGGGAGTGTCAGAGGTAGTGCGATTGGCACAGGATAGAGCAGGGTTTAGGGCTGTTGTACATAGGGTCGCTATGAGTCGCAAACGACTTGATGGCACATAACAACAACAACATCATCCTTTTGAGTTGCTGTTGTAAATTTTTTACTGCAAGACCATTCTTGAACAAGTATAATGCTCAAGAACGACCACTGGGGTTTTTTTGTTGTTGGGTTGGTTGGTTTTTTTTTTTTTTTAAATTTTATTATTTTTGTGTGTGTGTACCGTCAAATCGGATCTGACAGGTACAGGAGGAGATTGTGCCTCCTTCTGCAGCAGAGCGTCTGGAGGATCCGAACCACGCACCTCTGGGATTGTAGTACAGCTTTTTGCCACTAGGCCACCAGAGCTCCCTGAAAGACCACTGGTTTAAGGTTTAAAGATTATCTTAGGGCAATAGTTTCAGGGATTCACCCACCTTTCACAACCCCTGAAAGCGTAGCATCCTTGAAAGTTTTCCATTCTACCTTTGATCAAGATTCTTCTATGAAATCAAAATGTTCAGTAATACTATACTAGGTAACATCCAGCTCTTCAGGTTTCATGGTAAAAGAAGGCAATCACACATTCCAAATCCTTTTCTTACCTGTCTTCTCTCTGCTGATCCTGTCTCTCTTCGATTGAAGTCATGTCAGAACCAAATCCTAGCTGGCCCCTCAACTGGTTTCCAAGGCTGTAAATCACATGAGAGAAGATTTTCCATCTTTCTCCCACAGAGCAGCTGGAGGATCTGAACCACCAAAGCAGCGCTGCCTTTGGGTGAGCAGCCAAACTCTATGCATACTACAATACCAGAGTCCCCTTCTGTTGCTTCAGGTAAAGACCAACTGCTGTGCACTGCATAGGCACTTGCAGGCTTTTTTAAGACCCTAAACTCAACGTAACAAACTAGAAGACAGGGCAGAAGCACTAAGCACATTATTAGGCCAATTCGTAGTAATGTTCCATGAAACTATGACCCTTATCTCCAAATTATGAAACCAAATACCATGAAGTGTTAGATTGTACATAAAATGCCTCACCAGCTACTCTTTTTTTATGTCATCACTACAAACAAATCTAACATATAATTTTTTTCAATTCAACTTTTTACAGGTAAAAAGTATATTGAAATCAATTACAATAAATTGTACAACTCTGTTCTAAATCAGTGCAGTTTATTAACTCACTCTCTCTGGTAAACACTAATCAACACTGATCTCTATACATTTTCCTTTCATTTTATATAAGTGAGACTATCCAATATTTGTTCTTTTGTGATTGGCTTATTTTGCCCAGCTTAATGTCCTCAAGTTCTATCTATACTGCACCATATTTTAAGACTACTACATTTTGCCTACTGGTTGAGTAGTATTTTACTGTAATGTATGTATCACATTTTGTTTATTCATTTATCTTGATGGACGTTTAGGTTTTTACAACTTCTTACTACTGTGAATAGGGCTATAAAGCACATCCGTGTACAAGTTGTCTTTTTAAATCTCTCCATTCATGTGTTTGTTTGTGGGGTTATTTGTGTGTGTATAAATAAAATATGTTGTTATGTACCATCGAGTTAGAACTGACTTATAACTGACCCTCCACTGGGTTTTCAGAGGCAGCAAATCATAAAGGAGGTAACTGATCATCTTCCTCCTGTGAAGCAGCTTGTGAATTTGAACTGTGTGGTTTGGGGTTGGCAGCACAACTCTTTCCCACTAGGCTTCTAGAGCTCCAAATGTAAATATATGAACACACACATAGGTATAATTGTTGGGCCACTTGTAGATCTATTTTTAGTTTTTTGAGGAACTGTTATATTGTTTATCATAACAGCTGTAGATTTTGCTTCCTATATAGATAAGGGTTCCAATTTACCTACATTTTCACATTTATTACTTCCTGATTTTTTTTTTAAATCTCAGCCCTCTTGTTGTTGTTAAGTAGCAAAGAGTTGGCTCTGAATCATAGCAACCTAATGGATAATGGAACACAACCCAGTTCTATTTTGCACCATCCTTACAATCTTTTTTGCCTATTACAGTCACTGTCTATCTTATTGAGATTCTTCCTCTCTCTACTTTTCCAGGCATATTATTTGGCCACTTCTGATAACATGCCTAAAGTTTGGAGGACAATGTACAACCATCCTTGATTCTAAGGAGTAATATGACTGCACATCTTCTAAAACACATTGGTCTGAACTTTTGGCAGTCCATGGCATACGCCATGCTCTACCAGCACCACAATTCAAAGGCATGAATTCTTCTGCAGTCTTCCTTCTACATTGTCCACTGTCCACATGCACCTGAAGCAACTGAAAATACCATGACTTGGGCCAAGCACATCTTAGTCTTTAAAGTGACTCTTACTCTTTAGCACTTTAAATCGTTCTTTGGCAGCAAACGTGAAATTTGTTGTTTGATTTCTTGACTACTGGTTCCATGGCTGCTGATGGTGGAGCCAACCAAAATGAAACTCTTGACAACATCAATGTTTTTACTGTTTTATCCATCCTAGTGAGAGCGAAACGGAATCTCATTATGGTTTGATTTGCAATCTCTCTGGTAGCTAATGATGCTGAACATCTTTCCATGTGCTTGGTAGCCACCTGAAAGTTCTTTTTTAGTGAAGTGTCAATATTCAAGTCCTTTGTTTTATGACTGAGTTCTCTGTTTGTTACTATATTGTTGAAGTTCTAGATATGTCTTAGTTTAGTAATCAAAATATATTAGATCCTTGTGGAATATATGATTTCTTAACCGTATATTCTTCCAATCAATAGTTTGTCATTTCACTTTATTCATATAATCTTTTCATTAACAAAAGTAATAATTATAAGGTTCCATTTACTTTGTCTCTTGCTGTTTGTACTTTTGTTATTAAGACAGTCAATTGTTATTATTGTTAATGCTCATATTAGTATAAACAATGCATTATTACTGTTATATGCTAGGTCAGGCAACATTGTCTTTGCTTATTCTCCAAAACCTTTATGCTTCAGAGTGCACAAGGAGGTCTTTACTTCACTTTGAGTTTATTTGTGTGTATGGTATGAGGAGACACAGGTTCTGATTTATTTTTATGCATGTGTTGTTGCTGTTGTTGTTATGGGCCGTCGAGTCGCTTGCAACTCTTAGCGACCCTATGTACAACAGCCCTAAATTCTGCTCTGTCCTGTGCCAATCGCACTGTCTCCGATACTCCCATCCCGATTACCCCAGTCACTGAATCAATCCACCCCATAGAGGGCCTTCCCCTCCTGCGCTGTCCCTCCACCCTCCCAAGCATGATGTCCCTCTCCAAGGACTGGTCTCTCCTTACAACACG